GCAATCAAATTGCTTGGGGAGAAACCAGAACGAGTAGAATAATTTATGTACCTTGGCTTTTTCATAACGGAAAATGAACACTAGATCGAGAAATTGCCCACAGGATACAGGCTGATTGTTTTAACTGCAAGAAAATGAACAAGGCCACCCAGGCAAAGTGGTCTAGAAATTAACCAAGGAAAAACAAAATATCTAACCTGCTCTAGAGAAGAGAGGATAACAAGACGAGAGAAAACTACACTTTTGAAAGAGTTTAACAATTTAAATACTTGGGAGTAATTGTGAATGTGAATGAATATGAAATATGATATGTGAAGACGTAACGGAACGAATATAAGCAGGCAACAAAACATACTAGAGATACCATAGGCTAAGCAAGGAGAAGAACTTATCCAGAAATACAAAACTGAAAATATACTGAGTTTAAATTAGACCAATAGGTACATACGCAGCTGAAACAATTTGCCTCACAGATAGGGATGAAGAATATTTGAGAGGAAAATCCTACGAATTATGTGTCCTATAAGAATGAAAAACAAAGAAATAAGAATAATAAATCATGACATAATGAGACATAATGAAGGGAGAAGCTATAGTTAGAATTAGTAGGTCACCAGATGGAAGCCAGCAACTGAAAGACTGGGTGAGGGGAAGACCTAGAGGGAGATGGGAGGGCCAGGTCATGAGAGACATCAAAAATAAGTGGAAGTAAAAATGAATGAAAGCCAAGTAATACAAAAAACTTTGATAATCCACAAGAATAATGCGGACTGATTCACCGCGATAAGTGAAAAAAAAAAAAATTTCCAAGTAAGGACGGCAAACATTCCACCAATAATGAAAGTCCTCAATGATGATAAGTATAGGTTTATATATTTGTGCAACAGTGTTTCAACTTGATCAAACATTGTAAGTCTGTTAAAGCGAGAAATAGTTGTGTCTATCTCGTAATATACAAACCTTTTCCAGAAAACTTGATGTTCTACGATGTCAGGAACTAATTTAGCATAATGTTTCTTTAAAATCTCTGAGCTATTTACGTGTTTAGCTATTCTATCGTCGTTTAACTGGTCATCTATTATTTCTAGCCAACAATTATACTGTTTTCGTAAACTCTCATCTGGATCTTCCAAATATGTGACGGGATCCTTCTGTAGTTCGTATAGAGCTTTCTAAATACAGAAATAAAACGATTACATATAGGATTAACATTTTTAAAAATCCAGCAAATTTTTACATTATCATAAAACAACTTCAGAACATATACAAATAAAAGGCCGTCGCGGAACACGTGGACGTTATTTTTTTATCGTAGATAGATGATAACAGTTTCAGCTTCTTCATTTTGTTAAAAGTAGTATAAAATTATTTATCGATTTGAAATAAATGCACAGTTTTGTTATAGTTAATTATTGTTACGTGATGTCACAGTTATATGTGGAGACTTTAATGCCAAAATAAGAACAAAACTGGATCCAGCAGAAACTGCTCTTGGAAATTTTGGAAGTCAGGGACGGAACGACCGTGGCCACACTCTTTTAAACTTCCTACTAGAGAAAAACCTATTCCTAATGAACAGTTACTACTACAAGAAATCTCACCGCAGATGGACGTGGAAAAGCCCAGATGGGAACACGACAAACGAGATCGATTACTTTATCACTGATAAAAGATACATATTTACAGATGTGACAGTGCTAAATAAATTTGCGAAATCAAGCGACCATCGTATGGTGAGAGCCACCATTGTGTTAAATACCAACTATGAACGACACAATATGATAAAAAAGAAGCAAATAAACAGATGGACACATCCAAACAACGAACAAAATTTTGAAGATCATATCGGTACATTCCTTCAAGAAAAATCATCAACAAATAATATTAACATTCTAAATGACATAATAGTAGAAGCAATAACAGAAGCTCAAAAGAAATGCTGCCCAAAAAGCGTGAAGGAAGAAAAAATTAGTCTGGAAACACAGAAAAAAATGGAACAAAGAAGAATACTGAGAGGCGACGAAAACTCTAGTAACGACGATATAAATAGAATGAACAAGGAAGTATCAAGAAAAATCAGAAAAGACTTAAGAAAATACAAAGATGAGAAAATCATCAAAACCATTGAGGAAAATAAGAGTATGAAAATAATGAGACGCAAACTCACAAATGGAAATAAACAAATAGTCAAACTCAAGGATAGAAATGGCACCATCACATCAAACAGAGAACATTTGTTACAAATTGTGGAATCATTCTATGAGACATTATATAGCAACCAATCGACGAAGAAGATATTCCAGAAATCTCCTTGAACGAAATTTACAAGGCCCTAAAAAAGATGAAGAATAACAAAGCTCCGGGGGAGGACGGTGTCGTCACGGAAGCGATAAAGATAGGAGGCTCAGTACTGATAGCCAAAATTCAAAAGCTCTTTAATCTATGCATATGGAATCAAAATATCCAATATCCCAACAAAGTGGAATAATTCAATAACTGTACTCTTACACAAGAAGGGAGATATAGCAGACCTGGAAAGATACAGACCAATCAGTCTCCTTAACCATCTTTATAAATTATACACCCGAATAATAACGAATAGATTAGAGACAAAGCTGGATTTTTACCAACCTCGGGAACAAGCTGGTTTCCGCCCTAATTACGGCACAAACGATCACCTGCAGTGCCTAAAAACCCTAATAGAAAAAACTAACGAATATAACCGTCCCTTGGCATTGATATTTGTAGACTTTAAAAAGGCGTTTGATACAGTGGAACTACCGTCCATCTTAAGAGCACTACAAGATTGCAGGATCGACCACAGATATTGTAATATAATTAAAAATATATATGAAAATGCCACAACAACCATAAGTCTATATTCTGCAACTAATAAAATAAAGATAAAAAGGGGAGTCAGGCAAGGTGATACCATGTCACCAAAGCTGTTCATTACCGTTCTTGAGTATGCATTTAAAAAACTAACATGGCAACAGAAAGGAATATCCATCGATGGAGAAATATTAAACCATCTACGTTTTGCGGACGATATCGTGCTTCTGTCAGATAATCTGGGAGAGATCAAAGACATGCTCCAAGAACTGAACGACATACTACAAGAAACTGGGCTGGAGATAAATTTCGAGAAAACCAAAATGATGACCAATATGGTTCCCAGCGAAGAGATACAGATCAATAATAACAAGGTAGAATTAATCGATAAATACACATACTTTGGTCATGAAATTAGAATAACCAGAGACAACCAAACCTGCGAGCTAAATAGACGAATCATGTTGGGATGGGCGGCATATGGACGGATGAGAGACATTTTTAAAACAAATATCCCAATTCACCTAAACCAATGCATCTTACCAGTCTTGACCTACGGAGCAGAGACCTTAACTTCAACGAAAGCTACTGCCGAAAAACTGAGGGTAACACAAAGGCGAATGGAGAAATCAATGCTGGGCCTGACCTTGAAAGATCGCGTAAGAAATGAGGAGATACGCCGACGAACTGGCGTAGACGATATTATACTGCGAATCAATAAACAAAAGTGGAGGTGGTTGCTATGAATGGAAGACGGAAGATGGACGAAGAGATTATTGGAGTGGAGACCAAGAGCCGACAAGCGAAGTCGAGGCAGACCACCCACCCGATGTACCGACGACCTAAGGAGAATAGAAACAAACTGGATTGCAGCAGCTAGAGATAGAGAGAACTGGAGACGTTTGGAGGAGGCCTATATCCAACAATGGATGTGAAAATTCGGCTGGATGATGATGATGATGTCACGGACACATTCAAACCGTTTGAAATACATATCGATATTGACAGTAGTTTAGCAGTTCATTTCAAGTGTTCCTGCAGATATAGTTAAACTAAATAGAAGCGATTTCATTTCCATGCAAGCTTTTAAATTTTAACGTAACGCATTGGCGGCCTGTCAGGGTCGGCAGTGCCTACCCACACCTTTATAGATGTTATAGATTTTTTTTAATATTTAATTTAATCAGTATTTCAATAATTAATTGTGGCCGGTAATCAGTTGATGTCATTTGTTTCTGCGAAATAAAAAAAATATCTGTGAAATAACAAAATTTTATTCAAGGTTTTTAAAAGAACTCAACCAGACTAAATTTTATTCGTGGTTTTTAAAAGAATTTGTCCAATCTGAGCGTCAAGTGATCTCTGCGAACCACTTTTTAAATTAATGATTCGAAATCAGAGAGATGCATCCGCCTGTGAATTTTTAAAAAGCACGTTTCGGGATTTCGGCAAGCCGATTCCAAGCTTGACGATTTACAATATTTACATGTAAAAATCAACGGAATATTAATTGATGAGCAACCAAATACATTTCTTTCCAAATTATTTTAATTACCAAGTACGGCAAATTTAAATTTGGCGATGCTTTTAAAGGATTGGTGATTGGTCGTGAACTGTACCTTGCGAGCGCCGGATGAAATGGTATTCGGGATGGATAGGTACTTAGGTAGTGAAGTGAAGCGATATTGACTACACGAACTAGCTTTTCTTTCTGTGATTTACTTTTATTTTCTGTCTATTTTCTGTAATTAAAAATTATCCATCATTCTTTAATAAAATAAAACTTGAAAATGAATTAAAAGTTTTATATGCTGATCCAAATATTTTCGAAAGGTGGGATAAGTTACAAGATATGTTACAAGATATGTTACAAGTTCACTAGTTCATTAGCTGAGGCATATGAATATCACTGCACCTTTCTTGAGGAACTGATAAGTCAACATCCACAGAGTTCTGTGATCTTGGCTGGCGATTACAACCTGAGAGATGCTCAATGGGCTAATGATCAAAACGGGGTTTATTTATCTACCATACTTCCTGATGGATCTCATGCGAATACAGTTTGTGGATCTTTTGCATTTTTAAATCTCCATCAGTGCAATAATATACCAAACAGACATGGAACATTCCTGGATCTCATTTTTTCACATATACCTGATCTAAATGTATGTACGCCGGTCGATCCATTGTTTTGTGAATCATTCAGGCATAAGCCGTATGAATTTTTTATCCCTATTGGTTATTTTAAAGAGTCAGTTTTTTATGAAGACTATGTTTATGATTTCAAAAACTGTAATTTTAATTCTGTTAACCTTTATCTATCTTCAGTTAATTGGGATGCATTATACCATTGTAATAATATAAATGAGGCTTGTCAAATATTTTACAGCTATATGTATCAGTGTTTAGATATTTTTGTTCCAATGAAGGCTGTCAAGTGTTCCTACAAGTTCCCAATTTGGTTCTCAATAAAACTTAAAGATCTTATTATTCAAAAGAAAAAAGCTCATCTGAGGTTTAAATTATCTAATTCAAATGAGGACTACTTATTGTTCTCTAATCTACGTGATCAATGTAAAGTTGAACATACACTTTGTCAGAAACAACATTTTTCATCTCTTGAAAAAAATTTTAGTAATAACCCCAGGGAATTTTGGGGATACATTGGCAGACTTCGTAAATCTTCGAGTTACCCCCAAGAAATGTATCTCGGTAACAGAAGGGCACACGGCAATATCGAAATTGCTAACCTTTTTGCTGAATTCTTCTCTGGTGTATATGAGAAAGATAAAGGTGCTCCCATTCCAGATTTTAAAGACTGTGTCAGACACATTGACCCTGTAAACCTAATTCAAGTTGACACTATATCAGTGTTTGATGAATTAAGTAAACTTCCAAACAAATTCTCCTCAGGGCCTGATGGAGTCCCACCGGTATTATTAAAGCACTGTCTATGCTCACTTACTATTCCCCTAAAATATCTTTATAACTTATCTCTTATGACTGGTGAGTTCCCTCCTTGCTGGAAGAACAGTTATATTGTACCCATTTTTAAGTCAGGTAAAAGAGAGGATATTGAAAAATACAGAGGAATTTGTATACAGTCAGCAATCCCAAAACTTCTCGACAAACTAGTGACTTCTCACTTATCAAAACTAACAGACAATATAATAATACCCCAACAGCATGGCTTTCAAAGGGGAGGAGCACAGTGTCAAACTTGTTGGTCTACCAAGATGATATATTGGGTGCCTTTGAGGGGAAGTACCAGGTGGACAGCATCTATACTGACTTCTCAAAGGCATTTGATAAAGTAAACCATCGTTATTTAATCAGTAAATTAGGAGCCATTGGTATAGCTGGCAAATGGCTTGATTGGTATGATAGTTTTCTTGTGGGTAACACCCAGAGCATTAAGATAAATGGTGTGTTGTCTCAATCTGTTGACGTCCTCTCTGGAGTACCACAAGGGTCACATTGTGGTCCCCTACTTTTTGTCCTCTTTATTAATGACATTGAAAAAGTCATTAAGAATTCAAAATTTCTGAACTTTGCTGATGATAAAAAAATTTATAAAGTCATTACTTGTCAGTATGATCAAATTCAGTTACAAGAGGATCTCAGCAGATTTAGCGATTGGTGCAAACTAAATGAATTAAAATTGAACATTGATAAGTGTTGTGTTATTACTTTTCACAGAAAGCAAACAATTTTAAATTACGATTATAGCATTGATAACACTCAGCTGTCAAGGCAGGACTGTGTTAAGGATTTAGGTGTTTATTTTGATTGTAAATTAACATTTCGTAATCATCTAGAGGTCACAGTAAACATTGCATTTAAACAATTAGGGTTTATAACTAGAAACACTTCTCAATTTTCATGTTTTGTTTTACCAATTCTTTTTAATAGTCTCATTCGTTCCAGACTAGAATATGCAATAGTTGTATGGGGACCTTACTATCAAACCTCTATTGACAAGCTTGATCGTGTTCAGCATAAATTTTGTAAACACTATCATTACCGTAGTGCTTTTCATGACCTTTCTGTCCCATACAGTTATAGTATGATAGCTGATCACTTAAAAATGGTTTCCATGAATCAGCGAAAAGATTATTTATGCCTAATATTCCTTTACAAAATTGTTAATAATTTGATAAATTGCCCTGAACTTTTAAATCGATTAGGTCTTAACACTCTTCATGGAACTAGACATACTTCATTGTTTCATCTGCCATTTCATCAATTTAATTATGAATTCTTCAAGCCTCTTACTAATATGTTGAGACTATATAATAGGTACCAAAGTGATCTGGACTTATTTTTCCAGTCCTTAGAACAATTTAAAAATGTGATAAAGAGACTGCTATTTGTGTAATATTAGTTTGTATTGAAGTTAATTATTAGTTTTTGATATTAGTTTGTTTTCAAGTTAATTATTAATTTTGTTAAACTTTACTATTATTTTCCAATGTTGTGCTCACTTTGTAAAATTTTATATATATGTTGTTCCAATGTAAAAATGGTATATCCGTTAATAAATAAATAAATAAATAAATAAATAAATAAGTTACAAGATATATTTTATATACTGCAATTCATTACAACAAACTGTTCTCTCATTACCACCAACGTCTACCTCAAATGAACGAGATTTCTCTTGTCTCAAAGGAATCAAAACGTATTGTCGAAACACCATTAAACAAGAGAGAATGTCAAGCTTGTCTAAAATGTCAATAGAAAAAACTTTTAAAATCTCTCCAAAACTCTAATAAATTTTACGATGACGTTATAACCCATTTCGCTACTTCCAAACAACGTAGACTAGAGTTAATTTTATAAACATGTTTAGGTTCTAAATTTATAGAAAAAAAAAACTAAAAAAAAAAAACAAAAAATATCCTATGATAACTGAAGTCTTTATTAGACGGTATACCTATCTGAGGCGACAAAAAATACCTTACCGGCCTTGTCTCTTAAGCCACGAGCCGCCACTGACCTAACACTTTTCTAATTATTCCAATGCGAACAAAACCAAACACAAAGAGTCTCACTTGAAGATAGCAATATCGTGGTAGGAGAGATACATGCAATAAAGCACAAGCAAATGTAATAAGTAACAAAACAACTTTACCTGAAATTTATTTAAAGTAACTGTTTCTGAATTTTCGACTATCAACATTTCTGCATCAGAATCATCTGGACTAGGGTTCAATACATTATTCATTTGACCTTAAACAAAACAATTTTTTACGGAAAATTAATGATAATAAAATGATTATATTTACCAAGGAATGAGCTAAAACTTCTTTTCATATTACTAGCGGTAGAAGATGGAGAATCCAACTAAAAAAAGGTATTATGTGTGTTATCGCCTATTTGTCTTTATTAGCTCCCATTTATTGTATATTTTTATTATTTTTCATTGAGGAATTGAACTGAATAGATACTTACACTAAGTGTTTTTTCGAGTACAGCTCCTGTAGATGATACCACATTAGTAGCTTCATTTTTAACAGCAGATCCAAATTCTTCCAAATCTTTTTTTACGAACTCCAAAACTTCTGAACCCTGAAATCGAACTTAATTAGCATAAACGATCAATAGTTCTCAAAGAATATAGACTTTTAATAACGATGTTTTGTAATAATACATTGTTTTCCAGGTTTATAGGCCAAGATCTGGTATTGTTATTTCCAGAAGTTTTTACTGCAACCTTCGCAGACATTATTAAATGCGATGCGGCAGCTGACGACCTCCTGCACTATGATTTTCCTCTAGTACCTCAGCTTTTGATAGTCTTAGCCACGGATCTGTCAATTAATCTCTGACTCATCAATTTGTACAGGCCACTTCTACTGAACCTCATTAAATTATCATGTGTGTTTGACAGATATCTTATGGTTGTCTAACAAAATAAAGACATTTTTTATTGTTATTATATAGTGCTTAATACAGTATTTCAAAAATCAGAAAACTTTGCAAAATGATTATTATATTCCATTTATATAGAAAGAGAATAAAAAGCAAAGAAATAATTATATATCTAAGTTATGTTTATGAAGTTTCACAACCCAGCGATTCGTCCGAAGAGGAAACCCCAGTCACACTTGAGTCTATTATTCTTTTGTCGAAAGTAATGTCTACCAACCCCTCCAATCTCCACATTTTTCTCTTCTTCCTTGATCACATGGGCTACAGCATTAGCCCAATCTTCTTTCAATATCCGTTCTATTACGAGTTCTAACAAACGTTGGACATAAAATACTTTATATCACGTTTTCACGAACTACAATTCTATCGGGTTTAACTCTATATGGAAAGGAAAAAGTCTCAAAATAGCGATGACTTTAGCACAAGCCATTGTATCAACAACATGCTGGCAATATCTGTCACAATGCTGTCTAACGTCCTCGGAAAATGCAATTCCTTTTTGTCCTAACCAACCCTGCATGTCTGCTTTTCTGGTGGCCATAGTTGGCAGATGTTCTACTAATCGACTGTGATAAGCAGCGTTATCCAACACTATTACCGAATTTGGCTCGCGTCACGAAAGAAGGGATTCATACCATTTTTCAAAGTGTTATGCATCCATATCTACGTGATAATTCCACGTTGTTTTAGATAAAAAGATGAATGCACTACTGTCTAAAAAGCCACTCTCACTACCTATTAGTCGTTGCCCTTTACCCGTTGGTCATCGTAACCCTGTTGATAAACCGTCCACAAATGCTTGACGATAACTCGTTACAGTAGTATCTTGCCAGATCTTAGATAGTGTGTGATCAGAATTCACCCATGTCTCGTCCAGATAATAAATCTTTTTGTGGGCAGAACGAACCTCTATAATAGCATGAAAATATTTCGGGGTCGCAGATTTACGGGATCGTTTGACATACAGATTGAACGAAATAAATTCGGAACATAGGAAACATCATGTATTTCGGCTTATTTCTGTGTAGTACGATTTTATTATGCTGTCAAACCACTTATAGTCCAGGAAATGAAGCATTTCACCTCGTAATTTTTTCGTCCTGCGTGGATTAACTTGAAATTTTAACAGAAGGTAGGTAATAGCTTAAGGATCAAAATCTATATCGAACGAAAGTGCGCCAAAGCCTTGGGGTGGTTGCCACAACATCCCGGGGGTGAAAATTTTTTTTACGTTTTAACTACAGGTTTCGATTAAAAAAGTGATTATAAACAAAAAATGTTCTATACATTTGTTTTTGTAAAACTATTATTTTTCAAGTTATTCGCGATTGAAAGTAACAACTTTTAGACGAAAAAATCGACGTTTTTAATCGATTTTTCGCGAATAACTCGAAAATTGTGCATTTTATCAAAAAATTGTAGAGAACAAATTTGTAGCTTTTAAAAAGACAAATACAATTCATTTTTTAAAATGTTTTTGCGATATAATAGGAACCGAAATACGACCTATCAATGTTCAGCGGTTTTCTTCAAATGCCAAATTTGAAAGATTCAAAGTCAAATATCGGGAAAATGATGCATTTTTGGAAGAAAACTCACGCAACCTTTTTTAAAGAGCATAAATAGATCTATCATAAAAAAAGACTAGCTCAAAAATTGAGTGAGTTATGAACAAAATAAGGCCAATACCTCATTTTTTTACGAAAAAATCGATGAAAACAACCCCCTAACCACTCCCATAATTAAAATCGATCTTCACCCTTCTGCAATTCTCTTTGTACATGTATTGTTAATACGTCCAAGAAGTTTGACCCATTTAAAATGCTTAGTTTTAGAAAAAGTACAGCTTAAAGCAAGAAACGATTTACAATTTCATATTTTTTACCCTTCTTTTTTTAAATATCCCCGAAAATAAGGAATATATGAAAGAAATAAAAATGTACTAAATTGTAGCTTTTTTAATGACTAAAATTTTCCTTTATTTAGATTTGTTGTACAATGAATATTTGGCGAGATATAGCTGTTTAAAGCATCGATTTACGATCAAGCACCATCTTTTTCGAGCCCTTTAAACTCACCCCATTTAAAAAACCAAGGGTTCCAAAGAGATTTAATTCACAGATCCTTGTAGCTCTTAAAAACCTCTACAAAATCGTTTTTGAGGAAACACTCTATCGTTAAAAATGAAGGAAATACGTTAAAAAACCAATTAATTTTTTTTTTCGGAAAATTCCATTAGTATAGTACAGTACATTTTGGAGCATAATAATCAACAAAATCGGTATATTAGGTAGCGGGGCGTTATACATTCGAAATTTTAAGCGTTCTTATTTTGAAATAACTATTTATGTACTAAATGTATAAGAATATATGGTGCCTTTTTATGTTGATAACTTTTTTGTATTTAATTCTACTTTTTTCAATTTATATCTATTAAATTAGTTTATAAACTGCACTGAACTTTGCAACTGAAAAGTTGCAAAATTTTGGCAAAAAATTGTTTTTACCTATAGCACTCATAACAATTTATTTTTAAGGGTTGAAAATGTATGAAATTGTATTTTAAAGTATAAAAAAATCACTATTTAACTAATCCAAACCAAATTTCACTCATCTTAAGATTTGTAATGTTATTTTACAATTTTTGAAAATTAGGGGTAGTTTTCACCCCTAAGAACAATCAGGGTTCATCGGCATGAAATAAACTATAAAGCAGAGGGTGAGTTAAGCTTCATTCCAATTTTTTATGCAAATCGTTCCAAGGCGAAATCATTTTCTTCGCATTACTAATTTTTTTTACATTAATCTCTAACAAGGGTCGCATTTTAAGGGTTGAAATATGATGGAACTTTATTCAAAAGCACGAAACTATCATTATTTAATTAATTAAAACCTAATTTTACCCATATTCAGGTTTAATATGTTCTTTTATAATTTTTGACAATTAGGGCTAGTTTTCACCCCTAAGAACAATCAGGGTTCGTCTACATGACATAAACTATAAAGCAGCGGGTGAATTGAGCTTAAATCCAAATTTTTATCCAAATCGATTCAAGGCGAAATCATTTTTTTAGAATTAGTAATTTTTTACATTAATCTCTAACAAGGGTTGCTTTTTAAGGGTTGAAATATGATGGAACTCTATTCAAAAGTATAAAATAATCATTATTTAACTAATTCAAACCAAATCTTACCCATATTCAGGTTTAATATGTTATTTTATAATTTTTGACAATTAGGGGTAGTTTTCACTCCTAAAACCATTCAGCGCACTTCGGTTCGATATAGATTTTGATCCTTGGGCTATCACCTACCTTCTGTTAAAATTTCAACTCAATTCATGCAGGACGAAAAAATTGCGAGGTTTTAACTTTTTTCGAGCTTTATTTCCTGAACTATTAAAAACTTCCTTAGACAAGCAACATTGTTACCCAAACAACATTGTTGCGAGACAGATAGTTGATCGATATTTTATACAATGTCTATACCCAGGTATGGATTTATTTTTGTCCAAGTTTTATATTGGTCCACTATTTCAAATGCAGTTCAAACAGACATATATTAAAATGTATGTTCCGTTTTAAATTCGTTCTATCTGTATATAAATTTTCTTTGGGTATGGAACGGGTGCGTAGCATGTAGCAGCTCATATCCTCATTCCAACCCTTTCCGTTGATACTCCATACGTTAGGAATCACGATCAAACTAGCCGTTCAAGGGTGGCCTTGAAAAATTCAAAAAAAAAAACCAGAATGGATGTTATAAGATAGAATTTCTTATAGAGATTTATACATGAAAATGATATGTTTTGAGCTTGGATTGTTATTGCGAAATTAAAAATATCAGGACACTTCTGTGACAGATTTGTGCATGTAAAACTGTTGTTTTCCTCTGCTTTGTGTTGTAAATATTGATTACTCATTGTGTTTATTGTTCATTGTTCTCAGTAGTAACTGTGATAATTAATTATGAATTCATTTATTTTGTAAATTTTGTTGGAAAACATAAAATGTATTCTACTTTGTATTCATTTATTTAGAGATAACCTAAGTTATACATTTGGAGAATTATTATAAATAAACTTTACTATTGTATTTAATTTCACATGCAGAAAACTGTTGTCTGGTTAAAAATTATGACAACATTATAAGTAACAAAATAAGTTTTGCATATTATAAATTTTTATCTTTTTTGAAGTTGCTTTCTAGGTGTCATCAAAAAACAACGTTTAACTATTGCTTGTTTTTAATCTGTTGACCCTTTTCAGGAATTCAATTGCTGATAATGCATTCATGGCTATTTATGCTCGCAGATTATTATAAGTTCGTCCATATTGTTAGGTTTTCACGAAAAAATATGAGCTGATAAGTAAACACATGCAAATGTCTAAGAAACACAAAGTCTTTTTATCATATATACAACAATTTTGATTGGATTTTAAAAAGTGATAAACCGTTAGAATGCCTGATAAGTCAGCAATAAATTCAGCTTAATTTTAGTGTACAATCATTTCTTTATGATGAAATAACCAAGGAAAAGTAAAGAGGTGCATTAATTTTTAACATAAAAGTCAATATAAAACAAAAAGCTAACAAAAAATATGTTTATTAATCCTTGTTTCCTTCAGCAACATTAAC